CCCATGCCCAGCCGTGGCCGCCCCATGCCCAGCCGTGACCGCCCCATGCCCAGCCATGGCCCCTCCATGCCCAGCCGTGACCGCCAGTGCGCCATCCCAGGAAGCTACACAGGCCTCAGGTCCCCCCGCCCCCGGCTCCCTGCGGGCCCAGCAGTGGGAAGGCTGTGTGTGTGGTGTGCGTGTGTGGGGACATGTGTGCACACGTGGGGACGTGTAGACAGTGTGCACGTGTGTGGACACTCCATAGCGAGGTGAAGCTTGGCGATGCCACAGGACTCTACCACTGGGCCGCGGTCAGCACTGTGGTCTGGGGGCCTGAGGACCCCTCCTGGCCAGCGGGCCCCTTTCCTGCCACCTGGCTTTTCTCCTCTGCGGAGAGTCCCCAGGCCGGCAGTCTCGGGCAGATGCCTCCCCGATGCGGCCATGGGCCCCCTCACTAATCCCCAGTCGCAGACGCCGTTGGTCCTGCTGCACGTGGCTGGGGAAGGGGACACAGGGAATGTCCACACCCTTTAAACCGAGGGCGTAAAAGCACCTTAAAATGTGATGGGAGAGGACCGCCACGCCTCTCTACCTGGGCAGGCTGAGCTGGCCCAGAACGGGACCCTGTCACGCCAGGCAGGAGGGCCACCCTCCACGTCCAGGACACTGCGAGGCTTGGGCTCCGACCAATGTGGGGCTGTCTGGGCGCCCTGGACCAGCTCCGAGCCTGCCCGTGTGCCCCGCGTCCTGGGCGACCCTTACAGGCTGAAGGTGGGGGCGCCCGCAACAGCCGTTATTAATGGGAACGGGACTGGCTGGCGTGGGCCGAGCCAAGGTGTTGCTCACCAGCAGGCCAGGGTGCACGCCGCACTGCTCAGCAAGACCTGGGCACTAGTAGGGCTCTCGCTGCCAGCTGCTGTGCGGCTTCCAGCCGAGGGCAGACAGGAAGCGGCAGCGCAGATGCCCGCTGTGGGGGTGCCCTACCTCCCCATCCACCTCAGACTCCTGGGCTCAGCCCACGCACCTGTCCCGGAAGGCTGTGCGCCTCTCTGCCCTCCCAGGAAAAGCCCCTCGGTGCCTCTAGGCCAGGGGCTCAGCTGGCAGGGGAAAGCGGCCCCAGCTGCTGCGAGCTGCAGGTGGGAGGTTTCCCTCCTCAGAGCCGAGCCCTGGAGGAGGGCAGGTCCTTGGGGAGGGCTGTTGGGAATGGAACCAGGTCCAGGGAACCTGATGGAGCCAGACGAGGAGGGCAAGGGGACAGACAGGCCTGCACAGGGAGCATCTCTGCAACCCCAAGGGGTCGGACGCAGCGCAGCAGGCTGCCCGCACCGGACGGTCCTGTGCCGGCTCAGACACCGAGGCTAGCAGGCAGCCCAGCGGGCACAGCGAGGCCTGGGGCCCAGGAGCCCCGGGGCCATGGCTGGAGCCCGGAGATAAGCCAACACTGTCCTCTAGGACGTGGGCGAGGAGCTGGGGGCAGCCAACAGGACCAGACAGACGCTCTCCTACCTGGGTGGGCCGGCGGCCGGGGGCGGGCTCCAGGCACCTGCACAGAAGACCTCAGTGTGAGTCGCGGGCTGCAGGCTCCAGCCCAGGGCAGCCGCACGGGGCAGGGGCGGGACGTTACCTGAGAGTCGCAGGACGCTGCCAGCAGCCAGGAGCAGCAGCAGCAGAAGGCCAGCAGCTCCCTCATGGCTATCCTGAGGCCCGGCGTCCGTGTCCGAGTCCGAGTGGGAGTCCCGAGGTGCTGCGAGAAATTGTCACTCGGCTGTCACGTCCTGTCCTCGGCAGAGGGAGAGGGACGTTCTGGGCAGCGTGGGGTCTGCTTCCCTGCAGTCTGAAAAGCTGCTTTCTTGGAGAGCTGAGAGGTGCCTCTTCCTCCTCCACAAACACGAGGCCGCCCAGCGATGGAGACGCCGCGGGATGCGCCCGGGCTGCTGGCCACGTGTCCGCCTCCTCCCTCAGCCCTGTGTGTCCCGTCCAGGGTGGGGTCTGGGCTCCTCTGTCTGGCAGGGGAGTGAGCAGGGCTGTTTCTCCGGGAGCAGCAGCTCAGGCTGGTCCTGCGCCCTCTGCCCGGCCCCTGCTCCTGGCCTCCTCCTGGCGCTAGGCTCTGGGCTGGGCTGGGCGGCAGAGGGCTGAGTTGGGAGCTGTCCTCCTCAAACTTGGTTCTGCCCCCCACTTATCCCGGCGGCTCCGCCCTCCTGGGTCCTAGCACCCGTGTGTTCAGAAGGGTGACCCGCCAGGCTCTGGGTTGGGTGAGTGAGCTGTGGAACTGTGCAGAGCAGCCGTGCGCGTGGGGCTGGGGTGAACCATTAAGGCTGCTCTGGTCTGAGTCTGAGCCTCTTTGGTCTGGAGAGAGTGAGCAGGGCAGGGAGGGAGAAGGAGCCGGCACACCCGCCCTCGCCCTCGCCCTCCGCCCTGTCCTTTTCTTTAACCCTTTTGAAGTCAGTGAGAGCCATGGAGTTCTTACAGGAGTGCCACGTGCCTGTGCCAGGTTCCCATGGCACCCAGAGAGTGTCCTCAGGGGAAGGCAAAGACCCATTCCCAGCCGTGCCTCGGTTTACCCAAGACCACCACTTCATTCCATGTGTCTGTACAGTGACAGCGTATTTGCCATGCGATGGGTCTGGGCACTCTGCACTTTGCCCAGTGCTGCCCCCTGCTCTCGGGCAGCCTCTTCGTCCCTCTGTTTCCAGCTCCCGGGCAGCAGGGAGGTGCCGGGAGACGGAGTGACACACAAGCTCGTAAAGCAGCTCTCAGAAACACAGCAGCCGTAAGCGGAGCTATGGTTGTTACCAAGAGGTAGAAAAGAACCCCAGTAAATGTTAGCTAGTGTCATGATCTCAACCGTCCCAGCTTTAAAGGGGAACTCAGAGCCCTGGCCCCAACACACTTCCTAAAGAGGAAAATACCACTTCCAGTCTCCCCGGGGAGGGAGAAAAGAACGTGGTGTCCGCAATTAACCGGTGTTGGCGCTACAACCTCTCCGAGTGACAGCCTTGGCTCCCGCCCGGCCGGAGCACAGAGCCCCCGTGGACGCCTTGTCTCCTCACACCCCCACAGCTGCCGCCAAAGGCCCGCTGTGGGCAATAGCAACCTTTACCCGTCACCTAGGCTCAGGGGTCTCGCAGTTTTTCTCTCAGCCACCTCTGCCTCCCTCTGGAAAGGGGGCAGCAGGTGGGTGTTCCTCAGACCGTTTAGCGGAGGGAAATGAAACAGCTCGCTGAGTAGGCAAACCTGCCCCATTTCAAAGACTGAACAAAGCCGACAATCATAGTCACGGCGGTAGTAAGCCCTGGGTGCAAAACCAGTCACGCAGAGCCCCCCAGGGACCCACACTGACCTATGGGCTGGTTTGATTTTTTAAAGTTTTGTTTATTTCATTCATGTTAGAGGACACATGTGGACATGCGTGGACATACGTGGGCACGTGTGTACGTGTGAGAGAGGGAGCAGGGCTCCACCCCACCTCATCCTGCTGACATCCCCTCCCCAGACCCGCTCACGCACCCGGCACGATTTGGACCAGCCCACTGGGGATCCGAGCCCACAGGGCGGCCATGTGGCGTCCAGCGCTGCGGTGAGTACCCAGCCGTCTACAGCACCAGCCTGTCCTGGAGTGACTTCTGGCCCCAGCCCAGCTCCAGGTGCTAATCCACACCCTTCTTTCTCAGTGCCCGTTCAGACGGAGCCGAGTGGTTGTTTCCATCGTAAACAAGGGCCCTGCCTCGTGGACACTGCAGAGGCTCCATGACACTGACACGCACACCCATGGCCTCATCTTCACTGTGGCGAGAACTTACGCTATTCTGGATGGCTCGTGGCCTGATGGTTCAGGCAGCTGGATCTCGCGGTTCGCGTCCTGGACGTGCTGGGTGTGTGCGTATACACCGAGATCCCACAGAGGGGACGAGGAGGAGGAGGAGGAGGGTTGCAGCGTGGCTATCCCCGTGGGGCGCTTTCTCCTTCCCTCTCTCTGGCAAGTGCTCACACCCTCTAAAGAAACAGAAAACAAAACCCAAAACAGGGCCAGCAGGTGGTGTGGAGGTTAGGATGGCTGGATCCCACAGGGCTGGCTGTGAGGTTCAAGACCCAGACCCGATGGCTTGAAAACTATGCCAGGCATGAGTGTGTGTGCCCAAAATCCCCAGAGGAGAGTGGAGGAGAAGGGGTTGCAGCGTGGCCCTCCCCTCAGTGGGTGATTTCCTCTCTCCCTCTCCCTCTGTCTCTGTCTCTCTGGTAAGTGCACGCGCCCTATGGCAAAGCTAAGGAAACAGAAACGAGCCGTCCCCTCAGCAGTTGTGAAGCATACAGTCTCACCGTGCTTCCGTGACTCGGCTCAGAGTCCACATGTGAGGCCACGTGTCTCTGCCCTCCGTGCCGGCCTGCCTCTCTCTGTGTGATGTCCTCAGGGCGCATCTGCACGGCAAAGCCAGATTTTGGAAACACCTTGGGTGGGGCGGGGCCAGGCCCAGGGCTGGCTAACCTGGTATCCCCGGTGTCCCGGTGCACCCCCTGCCCGGTGTCCTGAGTGTCGGCTTGACGGCGGGTTCTCCTCTCCTGGGAGCCTTCCCGCTGGGCTCCTCGGAGCCATGAGCCAGTAACTATGCCTGCCATCGGTGGCCCGCCCACACTGAGGCACCGAACGGCAGGGCTGTGTCCGGGTCCACCTGCCGCCTAAGCCCAAGGGCGGGTGTGGCATGGCTGGCGCTCCACGCTGTGTAGTGAGCGGGAGTGTGCTCACCCCGAAGGACGGGAAGCCGTTAAACGCTGGTGAGATGGGTTGCACCCGTGTGGCGCGGGGGCTGATTTCAGGCTATGCCGCAATCGGGCTCCGGGTCAGGACTACAGGGTCGCGGTGCCTATGATGCCGGCTGCTGGTGGGCACATCCGGGCGACGTGTCCACCAAGTACACTGCATCTGCACACAAGGAATCGGGGAGCTGGGTCCCACGTGGTGACCAGGGTTGGAATCCTGGCCCTGGTGGCTTGAAAGACACGCTGGGCACATGTGGATGCCCAAATCCCGACGGGGAGGAGAGAGGGAGGGTGTGACCACCCTCATGGGGCGCTTTCGCTCTCTCGCTCGCTCTCTTGGGAGCACATGTGCCCTCTGGCCAAAATACACACACACACACGTATATACACGCATATACACACATATATACATGCATACAGACACACGTATATACATGCATATACACACACGTATATACATGCATATACACACACGTATATACATGCATATACACAGTACAAAAGAATGCTTAATGGCGTGAGAGAAATTATGACATAACTGCTGGAAAGGAACAGATGTGGGCCAGCCCGTGGCTGGTGGTCAAGGCAGCTCATCCGACGTGGCCTGCCGGGTTCCAGTCCTGGGCGTGTGTCCAAAGTCTTGGGGGAAGGAGAAAAGGAGGAGAAAGGGTCCCAGCATGACTGTCCCTCTCTGTCTCTCCCTGTCTCTCTCTCTGGTGTGTGCGTGCATCCTCTGGCCAAGAAAAGAGAGACCGCACGAAGACAGACACGGGCCTGGAAGGCAATGAGATCTCTGTGTCCAGACTGAAGTACCGGGTCGTTAGGAAGGTCGATGCATTTTTGCATCAAAAAGTATGTCATGGCCTTCTCGATGAACTGATAGTAAAATGCCAGTTTTAAATAAACTGAGAAGTTAAGACTATACATTTTTTTTCTTTTAGGGAGGTATTTTTTCCCTATAGGGCATGTGCCCTAACCAGAGGGACAGAGAGACTGAAAGTGAGAAATCACCCCCAGGGGGACGGCCGCGCCACAACCCCTCCTCCTTTCTCCTCCTGGGATCTCGGGCACGCACACATGCACACGTGCCTGGCATGCGTTTTAAATCACGGGGTTCAGGACTGAAGCCACAGTGACTGTGAGAGTCCAGAGACGCAACCATTACACCATCTGCTGGTCCCAAGAATGTATCTTTAACCCCAAAATCTACCACTAAAGAGCTACACAAAGACCTACAGCATCAAAATCGCAGTAACGGTTTAAATGACATGCCAAGGCTTGCCTCAGTGAGCCAAGGAAGGAGAGGGGCCAGGGAGACACGGTCGAGAAGCGTCAGGGGTTAGATGGACCCGAATGCGATGCTAGGGCGTCCAGACTCACCAGCAATTAAACACAGCGCCACTCAAAGCTCACGAGTCGCCGGTAGGCTGCCCGTGTAGAACGACGTGAGCAGGTGCCGTTTCTCAGAAAGTCATCTCTAGGGAACCAGCAGTTAGCGTAATGGCTATGTCGCTGGATTCCCACGTAGTCGACCGCGGTTCGCGTACCGGACCTGGTGACTTAAAACTCACGCCGGGCGCGTGTGCGTGCATGCCCAAGATCCCGAGAGGAGAATGGAGGAGAAGGGATTGCGGCGTGACCAGCCCCCCGGGGGGTGATTTCTCGCTTTCTGTCTCTCTGTCTCTCTCTGTCTGTCTGGCGAGCGCACGCGCCCTATAGCGAAATTCTCTCCAAAAAAAAAAAAAAAAAAAAGAAAGTCATCTCTAACACGATGGGGTAAGAGAGAAGGCGGACCAGCAGATGGCGTAGCGGTTACGTGGCTGGAGTCCCACGTCATCAACTGCAGTTCGAGTCCTGGACCCGGCGGCTTAAAATTCATGCCCGGAGCATATGTGTGTGTGCCCAAAAATCTCGAGAGGAGAATGGAGGTGAAGGGACTGTGGTGTGGCCATCTCCCCCCCAGAGGGTGATTTCTCACTTGCTGTCTCTCTGTCTCTTTGTCTCTCCCCGTCAAGTGTGCATGTCCTACAGCCAAAATCTCTCTTAAAAAAAGAAAAAGGTAAGAGAAAAGAAAGAAATGTACCATGCAAACACTAGTTTAAAAACTAATGAAAACCAAATGGTTACATTACTAACAGACAACACAGACTTCAGGATGAGGGGACTGCCTGTGGTGAGAAGGAATCCCTGAGAACACACAGCAACGCTCCTTGCGTGTGCACCGAGCCAGAGCTTCAAAACCCACAGAGGAAACGCTGAGTAAACCGGCAGAGGGCGGCAGCTCTCCAGGTAGAATGAAGGACGTCGGTGCCCTGCACTCGGTAACCGTGACCAGTAATTCTGTGTCGACG